ATTAGAAATGGAATTTCTTAGTCTGTAATAGTGGGTACAAGAGGCAGGAATTGGAACTATTTTGTCTTAGGTTTTAAAATCAGAAGGTTTTTTTTTTTCTTTTCAGGCCACCTGGGTGGCTCAGTTGGTTAAGCATCCAACTTTTGATTTCGGCTCAGGTCACGATCTCGTAGTTCATGAGTTTGAGCCCCTCATTGGGCTCTGCACTGACAGCATGGAACCTACTTGGGCTCCTCTCTCTCTCCCTCTAGAGCTCTCTGCACCTCTCTCACTTATGCATGCGTTCTCTCTCTCTCTCTCTCTCTCTCTCTCAAAATAAATAAATAAACTTAAAAAAAGAAAGTTTTTCATTAGTCATGTCTGATTCATTGCCATTTTTCTTAAGCTAAATCTTCAAGTGCCTTTACCATATTTTACCGTATCACAAACCTTTAGCCTTTTCTTCCTCCATATTGGGAAATTTAATAAGCAAGTAGATCCAGGATTTGTGATGATGAGGTAGGAAGTAAAAGCATAATGATTTTAGCAGATTAAATCAGAAAGAAAATACAAGAGAATGTTCTGCTCATGACTCAACAATAACAGGGGCAGTAAAGACAGGATGCACATCCAGCCACTGAGTAAGGGGCTTTACTGTTTGCCTCTTGTTATAAGGTGAATCCCTCATGACAAGTTTATTGCCTAAATGAAGCTCACATGTAAAGAAAATAACATTGAGCATGGACTATATAAAATCAGTGTACACACATAGGAAATTTCCTCCCCCAGGGACCTCCAGAAATAGTTCGAGTTGTTAGGCAAAGACTGTATCACCCACTAATGAAATCCTCCCTTTGGGAGTTAGGGGCAACAGCTGTTTTCCGGCCTTAGAACAGCTTCCCTCAGTACAGGAAGTGAGGATTAGGTTTTGCAGTAGAAGGCTAGCAGACTTTTTTGTTTATTTGTGTCTTTTGGAAGGAAGGAAAGAGGGGTGTAATTGTTCAAACTTGGCCTTGAACTCCGAGATGAGCTTAACTCCTTTTGCTTTTGAATAAGGTGTCATTCACCCTAAAGACCATGATGGTGTAGACTTCCATTTACCTACGTTGGAAGATACTTAGTTTCTCAGTATATGATGCTCCAATATTTTGTCCTAGAGTTAATTTTAAGAGAAAATGTTGTAGTCCCCTGCTCTCTTGGCCTCTTCTTTCTGTGTTGATAGCAATTGGTATTCACACCCTATTAAGAAGTCAGGAATGTTTTAGAATGCAAGCAAACCCCTCCTTTGTGCTTGTGAGGACAGTTCCCACTGAGAGTGACTTAGGGAAGGGCACCATCTTGAATGCATCAGAGTATATTTCTAGATCTTACAGGTGTCACCTGACTGCACTAAGAGATTTTGATATTTCTGTGAAAGGAGTCAAGAACGTTAGTGGTTTTCTCTCTCTGTGTCCCCACCCCCTCATTTTAGAAAGCTGTCTTAACCCATAAATTGGAACAAAGGCCCATATCTGACAAAGATGAAAGCCTGATAAACTCTTGTTTTGTCTCCAACTCATGGTCTCACTTTGCTCTCTCTGTAGAGTTGCTACAGTGAACAGAAGAAGACACGAAACTTAGAAGCTTACGTGGAATGGTTTAATCGCCTCAGCTACTTGGTTGCCACAGAAATCTGCATGGTGAGAAAATGAGTTTTCTCATTCTCCTAGCTCTCTCTATTATTTTTTCATACTTACTGGGTCTGTTGGATCTACATGTTGGATAACTGCCCCCTCCCCCCTTTTTTCCCCACTTCTGTACAGCCTGTAAAGAAAAAGCACCGAGCAAGAATGATCGAGTATTTCATTGACGTAGCTCGGGAGTGTTTTAACATTGGCAACTTCAACTCCTTGATGGCGATAATCTGTGAGTGTTTTCTGGAAGATACGTGTCCTTTATTTTTATAGGTCCTATGAAATATGTCTACTAAAAATTTACAAATAGTACAGTTTTATTAATGAAAACTACTTTTTAACCCTGAATTGTCTTAGAATGTTCAGAATGCTTTAAATGTCCAAAGTCACATAAGTATGTATACTCTTTTTTAAGTATATAAGAATTCATGGAATACATTCAGTTTTTCCTCATCTGAACATTTATCTGTAAAAGCTCGTAAGTGAGGTACTTTCTAAATGAAGGATTTAAACAAAAATATTTGGGCAGCTTGTGTATCAAGCATTATAGAGATGCCTGATCTGAGACTAAATTTTGCAATTCTGTCAGACTGGAGATGAGGGGGCCCTGAGAAACTGAAACATTTTCTGACTGCCCATGCAATACTTACCACCTTACGGCACCTTATTACCCTAGTACACAAACTTTGCTCCTCCTTTATATCCTGGGGATTTTAACACCAGTGACCATGTTTCTTTTCATTGGTTTATTCATTTTGTTCATTTTATACTGGTTGTCATGCCACAAGTATTGATAATGACTCTTTCATTTAAAAATACCCTAATTGATAGGATAAATTATATGGTTATCCTACATATTGTAGGTATTCAATATTTACCTCTCTAGGGTCAAGGTCAATTTGAAGCCAGAGAATCCACCAAATTTAATTCAATCCCTTTGATCCTGATAAATCCCCCCTCTCACCAATTCTGTTTTCCATTTTCTTTTTGTTATAATTTTCCTTGTCTTCTCCCTAAAAAATACTTGCCAAATTTCAGCTTTTTGTCTGGTTTACTTCATGATGATGCTGAATAGATAGATAGATCATAGAAATCAGATAGTCTGTAAGTCCACAGACTATGCAATAGAAAATTACTTAATTTTCCCCCTTATCCCATTAAGAAAATGTCAAGACAAGCCATGTCATGGGAGAAAGTATTTGTAATACACATAGCTGAAAAAGAACTTGTATCCAGAATATTCAATAAGTATATGAAACGGTGCTGTGCATCATCAACCATCGGAGAAATACAAATTCAAATCGCAGCGTAATACCATTTCACGCACTGGAATGACTGAAATTAAAAGGGCTGGTTGAACCAAATATTGAGAATGTGGAACAAGTGGAATTTTCATATATTGTAGGTGAGAGTGTGGAATGGTATCACTACTGTGGAAAACTGGCAGATTTTTAAATAAAGTTAACTTACACTTAGTAATGAGCACTTTTTTAGAGGATAACTTCAAATGACTTATTTCTCCGTTTCAACTTTTTCCCCCTCCCCCTTTCCCCCATTTTAAATGGAAAGCTGGCATGAACATGAGCCCAGTCTCTCGACTGAAAAAAACATGGGCCAAAGTGAAGACTGCGAAGTTTGATGTTCTCGAGGTATGTGAAGCTGATGCCTTGCTGTGAAGTAACATTTTATACCCGGAAAGTGGAACTCTTCGGTGTGAGCTTGTCTCTTGATCAGGGAGTGCTACAGAGAAGAAAGCCCATCTCTCCTTATAGACACAGGAAATGGAAGGGTGTTAGAATTGGCAGAGGGGAGAATAAATCAGGTTGCAGGCCACCCCTTTCCTAGACAGAGGTGTTCATTTTAGGGTGAACTCACTGAGGAAATGGCGACCTGTCAGTTACATCCCATCGTATGCCAGGATGGAATCTGGATCCTGAACCACTGGGAGTTCTATTTCAATGTGGGCCTACTACCTTCATTTATTTACAGTGTCCCGGGGAGAAGTTCCCATCGCTACAGAAATACTCATTCACCATCCTTTCAGCAAATTTAGCTTACCTGTGAAAAAGCTCTTCTGATATAATTCTGAACATAGTAAGAATTGTACATGAAGGCATTTGTGTTTGGGTCATATGAACGTCATTATTGCCTTGGTGTGTTGGTGCTTTGAATCAGCTGTCTTTGGAGATAATGTGTTCTTTCCTAAGTTTTCCTCCAAATTGGGAAGTATCATTGGATATGTTGCATTATGCTTTTATTCATATTGTGTAATAAATTTCTTCTCCTTCTTATAAGATAGTATGCTTCACTTGCTTATGAATGATTTGCTAACAAATGCAAAGGATAGTTCACTACAGAGTGTTGGATCATTATGCATGGCTAACCATCAACTGACCCATTAACCTTTAGATGAAACCAGGAATTGGTTTCCTATGCTGGGGTTTCATTCTTTGTTATCAGTTTTAAGTGTAATCTCAACGGTGAACCTGGAAAGAATTTGTTCTAGGTTTGATGTGATCGAAGCTGACATACGCTTGTTTAAATAAGGCAAACCTCAAGAAAGGAAACATTTGTGTTCTGATATGTTTCATGCCTGTGTGTGTGTACGAGAGGGATAAATCCTATTCTTAATGAGTTCCCTCACCTAGTGTGATTTTTTTTTTTTTATGTAGAGTTAATAGGATCTTGCAAACTTTCTGCAGATGAGAAGTAAATGGTTAATACTCTTCTCTCTTTTGTGGACAGCATCAGATGGACCCTTCAAGCAATTTCTACAATTACCGAACAGCTCTTCGTGGGGCAGCACAAAGGTCTTTAACTGCTCACAGCAGCAGAGAGAAGGTGTGTACTTAAAGGGGTTTTATTCATGGTAGAGTTCCCATGTTGTTGCACTGAAATGCATAGAGAAGGAAAGTGCTAAAGAAAGGTACCATGTTATTATCCATTATAAATGGATATTATTGTGTTGTTAGTGCATTACTTAAATGATCATTTTGTAATATGTCTTAGTTGTTTTTCAAGCAATAAATTAAGTACTATGTTAAGATGACTGATAACATTAGAATAATTTGACTTCATGGAAAATAGACATTTTAGCTCTGCACAAGATAGCTAACTTAATGTAACCTTTTTTCGTAAAAGAATTAGCTTACCTCCCATGGTTAAGTCATTTATTTTCAGAAAGTAGGTTACTTGCTGTAGCATTAGGCCTGCTGTTACTAATTGGATATGCGGGCAGCAGAAAAAGAATGAGGGTGATGTCTGAGAAATTAATGGTCCTTACTCTATCTACCCTCACCTTAAACAATTTAATGCTACATACCCTTGATTCTGAGGGTCCTGTCTTGCCCATGTCAGTGTTCTGTTTCCTTACATGGAAAGGAAAAGTCATTTCAACATTTAGGGATCATGTTATCTGCAAAGTTAACCCGTGTTGATGGTAAATGGGCTGATGAAGTTGTTTGATGAGAGTTATTTTTTGCATAGATTCTGTCATCTTTTAAGTTAAACTGTGTCTTCAACAAATTTTTTAAAATGAGGGTAAAAAACACTTCAGGGCATCTCAATCACTTCCACAAAAAAGCTTCAGCTTCAACGATCTAAAATAAAGACAAACACAAAAAGAAACTCCACCTTCTGAAAATGTTAAATTGGTTCTCAACAAAATCCAAAATATCAGTTCGGATAACATTTGAGAGATACTGTGAATAGGTTAATTTTTTTTTTTTTTTTTAAATAAAGAAACAAGGTCAGAGAGGGAATGAAGCACAGAGAACTCTATTTAGCCCGACAGAGTGTACCAGCTTTTACACTTTACTTGCTCAAATCCCAGCACACCTGTGACAAGATTGGAAAAAAAAAAAAAGAATGAGAAGTTTCTTAAGGTTGAGCTTCAGAAAGTCAACATGTGGGGGGCTGTCTGCATCTTCTCATTCACCCTCCCAGTTGGATGCAAGTTTCTTTCTGTGGAACCCTCCAGGAGAGCCAGGAGACTATAGAATCCTGTCTCTAAGCAGGGAGCTCTAGTCCTGGCCAAAGACATTCTGAAGTCCAGCCCCCAAAAAGATTATACTTGTGGGACTCTAATAGCCTTTTCCAGAAAATAGTCCAAGGTATTTACCCTTTACGTCATTTAATAAATTCTGTCTGCTTCAGTTTTGTTGTTTTTTTAAACTCAGTTATACGTGAGCATATGAGTTATACTCTCTCGTTCACAAAACAAATGAAATCACCACTGTTAAAAAAAATTCCATTGCTTTTTCACAATTGGTCTCAAAGGCTGTGAATGAAAACATCTCTGGGTAAAACACATCTTTTATTGAAGAGAATTGAAGTGAGGGTAAATTCTCTTTATTCCTAAGTAATTTAAAAATCTTCGTAGCAACGTGATTAGAGTAATAGTATCTTTAATATTCTTTCAGATTTTAAGTTTATGTGGCCAAAGTGGCACATCTCTAGGTACCATATCAAGGTACAAATCAACTCTGTCTTCCACACAGAGGCCCTTAAATGATCTCTAAATAGCTGTTTTTCCTGTGGGTACTCATGCCTCCAGGTTTTTAACCATTCCTCATATGATTACATGGTTTTAGATTTTTTTTTTCAACGTTTTATTTTTATTTTTGGGACAGAGAGAGACAGAGCATGAACGGGGGAGGGGCAGAGAGAGAGGGAGACACAGAATCGGAAACAGGCTCCAGGCTCCGAGCCATCAGCCCAGAGCCTGATGCGGGGCTCGAACTCGCGGACGGCGAGATCGTGACCTGGCTGAAGTCGGACGCTTAACCGACTGCGCCACCCAGGCGCCCCTGATTACATGGTTTTAAATCCTTTTACCATTTCATTTATGTTTGTGGGAACTTGTTCCTGCCCAACAGCATTCATTTCTAGGTTTGAAACTGATAATGAGGTATATTTACCAAGTCTCTGAATTAAGAATATTTTTAAAGGGCGGCACCTTTCAGTTGGTAGAGCATGACTCTTGATCTTGGGGTCATGGATTCGAGCCCCACATTGGGGGCAGAGATTACTTAAAATATATAAAAATATATTTATATATTTCTATTAATATTTTCTTATTTATATTTATAAATATGTTACATATTATATAAATATATTTATAAATAATTTTTTATGTTTAATTATTTGTTAACATATTTATATATTAAAAATATATATTAAAAAGTGAAAAAAAGAATATTTTGAAAGGAAATTAGAAAACATTATTACTTGAGAAGTTCTCCCATTAAAGACATCATTGGCAAGACCTCCCAGTAACTGTAGACTTTTGCTCTCTCCTCTTGGTAACCCATACATCCACCTTAGTGCCTGGAAACCCAAAGTCCTTAAAACTTTCCTGATTTTTATCATGTTAGATTTGTTGTAGGGGCTACAGGTATGAAGAGAACTCTCAATGAGTAAATTAGAATTTGAAGAAGCCTGTGAGACTTCTTTCTGGCATGTGGGCATAAGGAACAGAACAGTAAAGGGAAATTACTTAGATTTCTATATTCTTGGAAGAGTGATTCAAACCATTAATAGTGGATCAATCCAACAATTCCACTTCTGGGTCTTTATCCAAAGAAAATGAAAAGATACATGCACCCCTAGATTTATTGCAGCATGATTTAAAATAGCTAAGATATGGAAACAGCCTTGAGTAGCCACAGATGGATGAATGGATAAAGAAATTGTGGTGCATATACACAACAGAATGTTATTCAGCCATATAAAAAGAACGAACTCTTGTCATTTGTGACAACACAGATGAACCTCCTCAAGGACATTAAGCTAAGTTAAATAAGTCAGACAAAGACAAATACCAGATGATCTCTCTTACATGTGAAATCTCTGTTTCTCTCTCTCTCTCTGCTCTATGTATTTATATGATCGTCTTGTAGGCACCACGAATGTAAAAATTAAAGGATAGCATAGCCTCTGTGCCTCGGCCAGAGGCACGTGACAGGAAGTTAGGAAAAGTTTAAATATCAGTGTGAGAATGGTCAACACCACGTGAATCTCACTGCCCAGCACTGAGAATAGAGTGCAGAGATAAAATTCTTGCTTAAAAGCTGTTACACTATGCAAACATTGCACCTTGATCATAACTTAGTTTTCATTTCCCTATGATGGTATATCCTTATTGTCTTCTAAGTGCATCAATAATAGTTTTCCCTGTTTATGGGCCTTATTGTTTTTTTGGCAGTGCTTAACCGAGGTCAGACCTAAATTATTGAATTTAATCCTCACTACAACTCAATAAGGTTGATTTCATTTTAGGTTCCATTTTAATGTGAGCAAACTAGGTTTTTTTATACCAGGGCTTGGTGAACTTTTCCCATTAAGGGCCAGATCATAAATATTTTAGGCTTTGTAGCTCATACAGCCTCCATTGCAACTAGTCAACTCTGATGGGGAGGCATAAAAGCAGACATGGACAATATGTAGATGAGTAAGTGAGTATGGCTATTTTCCAGTAAAGCTGTCTGGCCACTGTAAGTTGAATTCCCTATCATTTTCATGCTCAAGAAATATTATTTTGATATTTTCCCAGCCATTTAAGAATGTAAACCGTGTGGCTCCTAGGCCATACCAAAACAGATCCTGGAGCTGTGCTGGGCTATGGGCCTCCATTTGTAGACTCCTGGGTTGTGCCGCCAGTAAATTGGGGGACCACATTTTAAGCTGATTCCAGTGGAATCTAGAACCCAGACTTCCCAATTAGAGGAGGTCTTTCAAAGAAATGAAGTTCAGGTGTGCTTTTATGCTTGTTACTATAGGTGTTTCGTTCTAAAATAATAGAGAATTAGCCAGTAATATTTGAAGGAGGGGATCGTTACTAATTTGGCTTTAGAGACTTCCACAGACGATAGTAAATGCTTGAAAGTATATTCAAAGACACTATCAAAACTGAAGATTCACTTTGGCTATTTCAGTGACCAATGAAGCAAAAATAGCCAAAGCTTGCTTTTTAAAAATGACTTTATGAGGAAATCCGGATTTATTTCTAGAGGTGAAAACTGATACTTCATATTTGTGTGTTTGAGCCCAAAGGTATGTTTTCCAGACCTCCCATTCATTTAGGATAGATGCACCCCATGAGTCATAAGCTTAGGGAAACTTCAAAAACCTGCTCTCCAGTAAACAGCTGAGGCGCGCAACTTGTGTTTGGAATGTTATTTGCATTGTAGCAAATTTAGAGTCTTCAAAGACTTGTTGGCATTTGAGTAAAAGTGGAAGTTACTATGTCAGAGCTTTGTTCTTTGTTCATTATGGACTTAACAGGATTTAGGATGCTTTCTTAGAGATTATTATTTTAGGGTAATTAATTAAATACCACCTCATCAAATCAAAAACACGAGGTAAAGAAACCTTACTGGAGGAGGTTTATTGTTTTTCAAACAGACATTCTAATTTACACATTTATATCCCTCCTTCACTTGTACACATCTCCCAACATATTGTGCAAGGTACTGCTTAGGTGATTTCCCATGAGGACAGGTGCGTACTTGTTCTGTTCCATTAAGGCCAGGTTTACTCAAGAGGAAGTATGTAGCAACTATTACCTAAAATCCTGACCTCTCCCATGATCTTGAGCAATGAATGTTCATCTAACAAGACATTCCTCTAGAATGTAGAAGTCTCAATGATCTAACAGCACAGATTGTAGCAGGGAGTTGGGTCACGCATCTTGAAATCTTGGGACCTGCAGCGACAGGTATTCCGTTAATATTTTGCTCTAACTAAAGGGGTTGCTAAATGAAAAGCAAGAGTCCTTTTAGATCTCCCCTTCTTTGACGGCTAGACCTTTTAGATTTATTATACGCTGTTGCAATGGGAAAAACTGCAGAAACTACCTGAAGCTATCTACTTCCTAATGCCTATTGTCTGTGCTGCGTTTTGGTTAGTAATAGCATTTGCATCTTAAGCAAAATTATGTAAGGGAGGAAACTAATGTCATGGGAGGTAAACAAAACACTATCTTAATTCATGGTAGCCTTTTATGTAATCCGGAACTAATGTTGTTCATTAATTTCTTGTACTGTTTGATGAGAAGCTAAATATTTATTTACCCAAACAAATGAAAATCTTTTGTTTTCTCTAGATTGTGATACCCTTCTTCAGTCTTTTAATCAAAGATATTTATTTCCTCAATGAGGGCTGTGCCAACCGCCTTCCAAACGGCCATGTCAATTTTGAGGTAAGAATAGGCTGCAAGAATCTGTGCACAGAGAGGGTCCAGGACCCCCTACGTCACATCTCAGGCCAGGCAGCCTAAGCTTTTTCTGAAGTTCTAGAAGAAAGTTTTCTCTTTATTGTTTTGTAAGAAAATAACAATACTGGGGCGCCTGGGTGGCTCAGATGGTTGAGCATCCGACTTCAGCTCAGGTCGTGATCTCACGGTTCATGGGTTCGAGCCCTGCGTCTGGCTGTGTGATGACAGCTCAGAGCCTAGAGCCTGCTTCAGATTCTGTGTCTCCCTCTCTCTCTGCCCCTCCCCTGCTCATGCTCTGTCTCTCAAAATAAATAAACATTAAAAAATTTTTTAAAAAGATGGGGTGCCTGGGTGGCTCAGTCGGTTGAGCGGCCGACTTCAGCTCAGGTCACGATCTCGCGGTCCGTGAGTTCGAGCCCCGCGTCGGGCTCTGGGCTGATGGCTCAGAGCCTGGGGCCTGCTTCTGATTCTGTGTCTCCCCCTCTCTCTGCCCCTCCC